AGGAGCCTCTAAGGGGCAAAATTCATTTTTTCATGTTATAAGAAAGCCTTTTGGAATCCATCGGGGCTTGCGTACCCCTAAATCAGCTTTCCACCTGTCCAGCGGTTGTTTGGTGCGGGTTCCCCGCAAGTTGCCCTTGCGAAGGAAGCTTGTCTTCACGAGAAGCTTGACTTCAGCATGAGTCGGCCATTCCAGTTGATCCTTTTCAGTTGATCAGTGTTTGACAACTTGCCATACATTTGCAGTGCGAACTTCAACTCCATAATGCAGACTGTAGGATGCAGATCGGCCCAAGACCTCGTTGCAATTGCTTTGGCCGCAAGGTTTTCAAAGCCAATTTTTTGGAGAGAATGAAACGGGCATGGGTCACGATTCCTGCCCCCAAAAGGCATTCATCTCCGCAAAAAGGCATCGACGCATTGATGCAATATCATCACAGCGGCACTTGCGTCATCAATTTTATTTACACAGCCTGCAGCTCTCGTGTCATTGCCTCCGCCTCATCCATTCCAGTTGGGAGGTGGCACCGTGTCTGTTGAAATTTCGTTGCGACGTGAAATTGACAGAGCATACTTTTAAGCGGAAATGGTTTTGGCTTTTGTCTGGCCGATTGAGGCACACCTGGCTGTCTCACAGGTTTGCCAGTCGTTTTTGCAAGTATCGTTGCGCCCGAGTTGCTTGGTGCCAACTGTTTCAAAAATCAAGTGCCCTGTTCAGGGCCCGGCTCTAGGGGGACGCAATTCTGATGGGAACGCCGGGTGGATGTGTTTTTGGTTCTGCGGAAACGCTTAGAAGCTGTCACTGTTGGTGCTTCCTAGAAAGGTTTTGTGACTTCTTAGAAGCAGAGGCCTTCTCAGAATGTAAGTGTTCTTGTAGATGTACACGAAATGTTTGCCTTTTTGAACCCTTTTGCTTCTAGGAGCCTCTAAGGGGCAAAATTAATTTTTCATGTTATAAGGAAGCCTTTCGGAATCCATCGAGATTTGCATACCCCTAAATCAGCTGTCCACCTGTCCACGAGCAGCGGTTGTTTGGTGCGGGTTCCCCGCAAGTTGCCCTTGCGAAGGAAGCTTGTCTTCACGACTTCAGCATCTTCAGCATGAGTCGGCCATTCCAGCTGATCCTTTCCAGTAAGTTGTTCGGTGTTTGACCACTTGCCATACATTTGCATTGCGGACCTCTCCATATGTTTGCAATAAGTTTCGTGCAATATGTTGACCGCAACCATTTGTTTGCAGTCGCCTGGTCGGCTGAATGAGTTGCTGAGCAGAAACTACCGTAGCTCCAGCACGTCCCATGCTAATGTTGCCGCCTTTGCTGTGCTTGGAACCTGTGTTTCCATCCCACCTTCCTGCCTTGCAAGCCGCTTTGAAGCATTTTTGAGACCAAAAGTATGTTCCAATCATTTGGGGGAGGATCCTTAAAGTGCCACCAGGGTTTCAGACAAAACATTGAAGAGGTTGGTGTAGAGAATGAACATGCCAAAGCTAGCCCTTTGAGCCGAGCCAGGCCTGTGGCTCCATCTCTGCCAAGTGAAGCTATAACTTGCAGTTTGTGCGACCTTCCCTAGATTTTCCTGGGCGCGGGTATCTGTTTTGAGTACTTAGCGGAAAAATGTGGACGTATCTAAAAGTACCCAGCTCATGTGGCCCCATCTATGGGTGCTTCACTACAGTGACTACAGCGAGGATCCTTTGAGCCATTCATCTTGCCACCACTCGGCTGCTCGTGTTTTCAGCGGTTTATCTTGCATGCTTCGCCCATTTCAGCCTCTCACCCTTATACAAAAGTTGCGCCAGGAATGTCAGTATACAAGCGTTGGAACTCATTCGGCCAAAGATCTCGACCAATGAACATGCCTCCTTTTGAGTTTCTTTGGGTCGAAGGAGGGTGAGACTGCCTTCTTATAGAGTGCAGGTTTGCATTGCGCCATATTTCTTGTACAGATTTTATCCTCTTGGCTTGCCTGTTTCATGTCATCGATTGCTTGCATGTAACATTATGAACATGCCTATTTTGCTGATGTTGGCTTTGCTTCGCACGCAGCCCCATCAGAACCCATGAGCAGGCGCAAACCGCTCGTAAGCGAGCGCGTTTCGCAGGCCAGGCCGAAAATCTGCCGTCGAGAGCAATTTACCTCCAGTTGTAGGTGCTGTTGAAAGTCTGACGCAGCGCAACGCAACGCATATGCCACAGTTTTCACCACACCACCATTGTACCTGGTCACTTTCAAGTCTGCTAGGGCAACTGGGGCTGGTGGTTGCCAATGCGTATTCTATGGTGTTCCGCCATGGGCTGTCCATAAAAAGTCCGCTCTGATCCGCCATGGTTCCTCGGGCAGGTAGTCCGAACTACGATTTCGAGTAATTTTTGATCCTTGGTGATTTGCCTTGACCTCATCAGTTCACACGTTGCATACTTTGCAGGCGCAACTTGAGGTTAAGGATTCGTGAAACGACGTCAGGCAGTCTTTCTACCCGCCGAGATTCCAGGGGGTTTGAGGGGACAGAGATGGCCAAGACCACTGCCACATGCGTAGCTCAAATGGTTGTTAGGTTCAATGTCAACTCACCTTCCACCAAGTCCGGACTGAATTCTGTTTTCCGGGCGCTCCGACGTGGAAGAGACGTGTTATTTCATTGAAACCATTCTAGATATCCCGTGATGGATGGGATGAGAAAATTGCATTTATGGCAAAGACCCAGGATATGGCCGGCTTGGAATATGGCATGTGAAACCGGAAAACCACAGGTCCAAGTTTGATAGGCACCCCATCATGTTTGGCATCGGGGTGTGGGCACCGACTGGACCAGCCTGTGGTGTGTGGCAAGGCACGCGGTTTTTGGCCCATGCTGTCCATGAAAGGAATTCCTATGGCCTGGGCTGGTTGGATTTGTTTTTCTGCCTGGGCCTTCAAGGGCCCATTTATTTTTGGTTGCTTCGGTTGTTGCACATGCTTCCGCAGGGTCGACCGCAAAAAGTGATAGCTTACCAACATGATATTTTGTTTGGCAATTAAAGTCATTAAAGGTATCAAAATTCACCAATTTGTTAGTGGTGTTTTTTGCGTTCCCGGGAATACTTCAATCCGGCAAAAAAGGGGTTGGGCCTCAGAGTTGAGTTGAACGACGCCCTTATCCATATTTGCAGTGGATTTGATGTTTGTAGGTGTGTCTGCAGGAGAGTGAATGATGCAAAAGAATCGGAAGGTTCCACAAATTTCCTAACTTAAGGACAAGTCAACGATCAGTTTTGTGTTCAAAGAAACATACAAGAACCTTACGCACGCCTACAAACTGAGAAAAGTTGCCCGTTTGTGGCCAAAGTGTGCGCGTAGGCAGAAAAAAGGGGCCGAGCATTATATGCTTGTTCCATGGATCGTGAGGCACAGTGCTTGGAGGATAGCCCGGTTCCACATCAACACGACAAAGACAACGGCGTTCAAAATCATCGAAGGAAGAGATTATGTGGCAGTGGGAGGATTAAAGCGTCCCCTAGGGTCGCAAGCCCTAAGCCCACCTTAAGCGCTTGCGGGCAGAGGCTTAGCACTGCTCACATGCACCTTGATGGGGCCAAGAGTTTGCGCAAAGCTGCCAAAAGAAGCAACGTGTTTAAGCCCACGCTTGACACAAGTGCTTCAAGGCGGGATGGGCAACCGAGCCAAATTCGATGCCTCCGACGTGCGATTTGTTGGCGTACATGAAAGTCTTGCAATCAATTTGAGCTGTTTTCAAGACAGGCGCTAGCATGCGCTAGCCCACTGTGCTTAAGACAAGTGTTCTTGTGGCGTTTAAACACAAACCGGCCTCTGCCAGTACTTCCGCCAATGTGTTTCCCATTTGGATCATTATTGCTTGCAATGTTCCACAACAACTCGTGCGTGCAAGCTCTGGAGAAACTCTGCGCCACCATTTGTTCGCACCAGCTGGCACAAATCCGACATGTGATCCAGGTCAAACCTGATCTGCATTTGCGCCTGCACCGCGTGAAACAAATGCAACTCCAAGCTCATTGATATACCTGGGGAATCCTTTTTGGGAACTTCTGCCGAAATTGCATTTCAGCACAGGAATCGCAGAATGGCAGAAAACAGAAAAAATTGCCGACGATTTTCAAGACTGCCGAGTTCTCATGGGCTGTGCTTATTTGTAACTGAGTCCGGGTAATTCCGCCGAAATTGCGGGCAATTCCGCCGAAATCTGCCGACATTTTTTCTGATTTAACTGGGGCAAGCATTCAAAAATCAATTCCGCCGAAATTGGTTTCCAATGATGGAATTCCGCCGAAAGCCGTTTTTAAGAGTGAAATCTGAAAATTCTTCCGAAATTCGAAATCGGCAAAAATTTCCATACATTTGGAGTTCTCAGATATCAAAAGCGATTGCGCGCGAGATCGCGTTTTAACCTCACAAGGACATGACCGACTATACACCTCTTGCAAGCTGTTGGCATGAATCCAAACGCTGTAGCTCTTTAATACGCAAATAGCCATGTATTTTTTGGAATGCATATTCCAGCAGGGAACCTTGAGAACCACAAGCTTAACATGAACCCGCACTGTGGGGACTCTGATGAGGGCAAAAATTCTGATGTGCTCTAAACAAATTGCTTTCAATGATGCGGTTGCCTGCGCAAGACAACTGTTTTAGCGGCCAGTTCAATGTTCCCCCAAGCAAAAGATTTAGCAATACGGGTCTCATCACCATTGTAATCAACCGTCCTGGCATCCAACAATTGACCCCATTCGACGCCCTCAAACTTTTCGCCACACAAGCCGGAGTCCACCACGCTCCTCGCCAGCGCCTCCAAGGCACTCCTAGCTGGCGCTGAGAGCTGCTGCCTATCCGCACTGGCAGTCCCGTGACACGTTCAAACACAATCCGGCCTCTGCCAGTACTTACAGCCAAAGCGTCTCACATTTAGATCAAAAGTATTTTGTTTCTTTCAGATCTGGCCCGCAAACCTGAGGCCCAGCAAGGGCTCCATTCCGTCCCGCGGGTCGATGCCACAATGTTTCGCTGCCTCCTTCCATGCCAGCTTCTAGGTGCTGAGTTCACCGTGCCGCCTCTGCCATCGAATAATAATGAGCATAACGATAGTAAAAATAATAACAATAGTAATAATACAACAATGCACCTTATCTGAAAGTTCTGCTAAAGCAATGCCCCGGCTGTACAACGCGGATGCTGCCGAGCTCAGATTTCACAACGTTTTGCTTGAACACATGCCTTGAAATTGATTTTTGAACCGCGCTGAACCCTTGCTATTGCAACTGCCCCAGCCTTTTTCTGAAGATTCCACGTGTTTTCCGCAATGCCTGCAACCACCATGTCTTGGACCTTAACTTTGGCCAAGATCCAGATCGCTGCTGACTGCCTGTGAAATTCAGATGATCTCCCGCGAATGTCGTGTGAACAAGACAGCCGGGCGTGGAGGAACGCCTTGGTGCCTTGGATGCCGTGGGCATGGTTTGGCCCTGTTGATGCCTTGTTGTTCTTTAGATGTGCTGTTATCACTAAGCCCTGGGATGCCCTGTGTGATATACGCAATGTGCTCATCAAGCTTTTACTGGTTCCGGGCATCTAAAACCAATTTGGTGTGAGCCAGCCAAATGAGTGAAGGTTTTCTGGCCATGGCTGAGGTTGGCCCCTATGAGTTGGTTGCCAAAGATTGACCGGCAAATTTTAACTAGTTTACTTTAATTTGCAGCCGGTCTTGTGTTGCACATGTCAGGGCTTGAATGAGGAATGTTGACTAAAATGCTGTTCATAAATTGTTCGATCATAGGTGGCTTTTGCCCATTCCTACCCATGAAGTGTTCAGAAAACCTGGGCACACAAAGAAACATGTGATTTTCATCTATTTGCGCCCAGAACCATTCAAAGCCGGTTTTTCTCGTCCGTGTGATGTTTGATGTGCCCAAGGATTGGTGTTTCCTGGCAGTGGGCCGGCGGGAGCCGTTGCATTCACAACGTTTTTGGCATTACGTGGCGAAGGGACAAGTCACAGGCCAGGGTAGCTGGTGAGATGCGCTTCCACTTCGTGAAGATGAATTGGGTGGATGGGGGCGTCCTATATTGTTACCATGGCCATGAGCCATGGGATACCACACTGCCATCCTGTTTCTCCCAATTTTGCTTGCGGATGGCATTCTTCCAGTATCTCCACATGGCAAACGAAAATGGCAAGAACATTGAAAATCTTGTTCTGTTGTTTCTTATTTTTTCTTAGCTTTTTGGCCCACCTAGGCCGTCACGGCCATCCATCCAATCCCCCATGCACTGGACAGGTGGACAATGACTTTCCTTTCCTGCACGCCCCGCAACATCGCCGAACTTGGGGGGTCACGAGTGCGCCGCGGGGGTATATAGCAGCCTTTGTCGCACTCCTGGCCGCCCTGGCAGCCGGCTATAGCGCTGAAGGAAGTTGCAGATGTCAGCAGGCAGGGGACGTGGGCCTTAAAAGACATTCAAGCACAGAAGCATGTAGTCAATCTTGCGTGACTCGATCCTGTGAGTTCATTGTAATTCTTTGGTTGTTCCAAATCCAAGTAAGTTTCAAAAGGGTTGTGAAAGGCAAGGGGCCGTCCAAGAAAAACATTCTCGAGTGAGCATGGGCACATCTTCATGTGGAAATTTCCCCTCAAGCATGGAATCGGTTTGACATCGGCTCAACCTCATGGGTGCCATTGACACTGCTTTTTCGTGTTTATCAAAGGAGGTTTCGTTGCAAAACTTCCGGGTTTCGGACGACGGTCACGGTGAGCATTCACATGCCAACCACATCACCATGTTCACCCCATCATCGTCATGTTCACCACACCATCATCAGCATCAGTCGTCATCATCATCATCATCATCAGGTAAGCTGAAAAATATATGCAGCAATGCAGGAAGCAAAATACGCTTCTGATTGGCTCAAGTCAAACCCAACTGTTTCAAGTATTCAGCCCATGAACTAGATCGATGCTGTGGGGGAAAAGCAGGCGATCCTTTTTTTGGATCTGATCAGGGGGATGGGGAATGATTCACTACTTCATTGCTTTTTTGATTTGCTGGATCAACGATTGATTGATTCACAGTGATTCACTGAATCATCGGTTCATTGATTGATTAATTCATGAACTCGTCATCCATTCATTGATTCGCTGGTTCAATGATTTATCGATTCACTAACTAATTCATGCATTCTTTGATTGTGAATCATTCAATGATTGATGCATTGATTCCCTGAAACATGGATTCATTGATTCATCGACTCACTACCACTAGTACCGCACAAGGCGGTGGCGGAAGCTGAAAAATAGGAAACCCATAGGAGAGGTTGGTTGTTGTGAATCCCGGATGGCAGAGCGAATCCACTGATGGACCGAAAGGTGGTCGCAGCTGTGTTTTTTGGAGTGGTTGCAATGGTTGCAGTGGTCACCTCACCCACAACTGCTGGATGTAGTGCAGTTGTAGTTGTAGTTGTGGTGTAGTCGAGTTGTAGCTGTCGTGTATACAGTGTAATTAGCATAGTGTAGTTGTAGTTGCGTTTGTAGTTGTAGCTGTGTTGGTAGCTGTAGCTGCAAAGCAGTGTAGTGCAAGGCTGTCGTGTTGTGTATTCTAGTGTAGTATAGTGTAGTGTAGTCTGTGTAGTGTGTGTGTGTGTGAAGTAGTGTAATTGTAGTTGTAGTGTAGTGTCGTGTAGTTGAAGCGCAGTGTAATTAGTGTAGCGTAGTGTAGTGTAATTAGTGTAGTGTAGTAGTGTAGTGTTGTGTAATGTAGTGTTGTGTAATGTAGTGTTGATAGTAGTAGTAGTAGTAGTAGTAGTAGCAGTAGTAGTAGTAGTAGTGGTAGCAGTAGGAGGAGGAGGAGTAGTAGTAGCAGTAGAATCAGTAGAAGCAGTAGAAGCAGTAGAAGCAGTAGAAGCAGTAGTAGTAGAAGCAGTAGTGGTAGAAGCATTGTAGTAGTAGGAGTAGCAGTAGTAGGAGTAGTAGTAGGAGTAGTAGCAGCAGCAGCAGCAGTAGTAGTGGCAGTGGCAGTGGCAGTGGCAGTGGCAGTGGCAGTGGTAGTGGTAGTAGTAGTAGTTGTTGTTGTTGTTGTTGTTGTTGGTGTTGGTGTTGGTGTTGGTGTTTGTTGTTGGTGTTGGTGTTGGTGTTGGTGTTGGTGTTGTTGTTGTTGTTGTTGTTGTTGTTGGTGGTGTTGGTGTTGGTGTTGGTGTTGGTGTTGGTGTTGGTGTTGGTGTTGTTGTTGTTGTTGTAGTTGTAAAGTGGTGTAGTGTAGTGTCTGGTCGTGTTGTGTACTCTAGTGTAGCATAGTGATAGTGTAGTGTAGTCTGTGTAGTGTGTGTGTGTGTGTGTATACCTTTCTAGCACAGGGCATGTCTGGAATTTGTCGATTTATTTTATTTTCTCTTTTTGGGACTTTAATCTGATCTTCGTCGTGATGTACGGAATACATTTTTGATGATTCGATACAACCTCGACAAGGCCTACCAGGTAGAAACTGCCAAGTCTATTAAGTTAAACCCTGCAGAACGAACTACGCACGATTTGACGCGGCTAGTTTTTGGAACCAGCTCCAATTCTTAAAACCAGTCCGGTGTGTTAATGTCGCCCCGGCTTATACAGTCCGGGGGTGAAATGTCCCACGCCTGCCAAGGTTTTTGAACATGCTACAAAACCATCACGATCCATCACGTTTTCCTCACTTTTGGCAAGGTGCAGAATCCCTTGCGCATGCTACGCAAAGCGACATCTGAACGTCCAAAAGTGCTCCGTCCCCCTCAGTTTTTGCACGTTTGACTTCGAAATGTGCTTTGCGCTTCAACGGTGTGCACTTTTTCGACATCTCAACTTCCAAAAGTGGTCCGAGCATGTTTTGTACATTTTGGCTTTTTGACTTGGAAATGTGCTTCGCGCCACAGCGGCGTACACTTTTTCGAGCTTTAGCGAGCCTACTTTCCGACCCTCCGGAGCCACAAATCATTGGCAAAACACAGTGTTTCTCGACTTTCCTAGCTTTTTGCGCACCTGCATCTTCTGTCTTCTGATTCTTTATCTTCCCTGATCTTCTTTCTTCTCTTCTCTGACTCTTTGCGCCTCTGCTTTTCATCTGTCCATATAGTCGGAAGTTTGACTTCTAAACTTTTCCTTCGATAACTCATTCATTCGTTGATTCGTTGCACCGTCGATTCATTGATTCATGGATTGATGCATTACCATTGGTTCAATGTTTCACATGATTCATCGACTTTTAACTAACATTCACTCATTCGTTGATTCATTGGCTCATTCGGCCAGTTTTGCATGGATTCTGTCATGTCATTCTGTTGGCATCTCAACCACCATGTGCTTAGTCGCTGATGCGCCTCACAACTTCACAACACTTCATTATTGCTTCTGCATCTCAAAACGTTCCTCTAGGCCATTGATTTCCTACAGCCATTTGCATTTTTTCGAAACTTGCGCCCCAGCATGGGGCCGGGCACTACCTGGTATACTTTCTGAGTTCTTGAATATGTTGTTAATCCCTGGACAACCCAATTACCAATCAAACCATTCCAGGGCAAGTGAGCTTCAGTCATTTTCAAATCATACCAGATGTGTGTAGATATGTTTAGATAGTGCTCGTGATATAGGCTCCATATCGCAGTATTTGTACATTGTACATATACTGTGATATGTGTGCGCGCTGCCTGCTGTAATGCGTGCAGGTCAGCAGCCACCATCGGACCCTGCTTCCCCATGACGGCCAGTGGAGCATGAGGTTTAGTCATCCAGTGGGGGAAACTGCCATCGATTCCTGGGGGTGTTTCGCATAATTGCTGGCCATGTGAAGCTGAAACTTGGCATGGCAATTTTTCAATGCTTTACGGGAGAACCCTGCCTTCGAGTATGTGACACATAATAGAAATTAATAATTAATAATGGTAAAATCTTCGGCATAAATTTGCACCAGCCAACAAATCAGGAAACGGGACGATTCCTCAATTGTCAAGCAGATGGCCTGCCTTGCTGCCAAAGTGAAGCCGCCGCATCAGTGGACACAGCATTGCGGCCATTTCCCACGGAGTTGTGGTGGCTGCTTTTGTTTGCTGAATTTAGGCCTGGGGTGCGAAAATGGTGGTAGAAAAAAATCTTGAGGGGCTACAACCATCGTGCTTATTATCCGCTCTTGGGCCGCGGCAATGCAGAAGCAGGATTTCAATCCATTTGAATCCATTGATAGATGTTCTCATCAAGGATGGGGATTTCCGAATGTCATGTTTAATTGCTGTAATTACAAAGCGTTGGGCATAGAACCTCTGTAGGTAAGTTGCCAAGTCCACTGTACCAATTCCAATGCGAAAGTGATCCCAAAGATATCCGATTGCCTTCCCGTTGGCAGTGGGTCATATATCTCTCTAGTTTGAATTCGTGAAGATGGACTCATTTGTGACCCTGTAGGCGCTAACTCAACCCAAGCGGTATAGTTGCTAAAGCTCGCAATGACTTCACCCCAAAAGCGGCTGATGCGCTCAATCAATTCTGATTCTTCACCTGCTCAGGACAATAAAAAAGTAAAAGGTGTTAAAGCATGTTAAAGCAATGATTTGTTTCCAGGGTGGTCGAACCACCAATCGGAACAAAATCAGAAGCAAACCTCATGCGTTTGTGGTAGTTGGGTTTCTTCGGCAAGGTTCCATTCTGCGTGCTGCTGAGTTTTCACTCCACAAACCTGCGGAGCACCAGGCGCTGAGACGCCAATTGGTGCGGGGTCCGATTTTCAAACGGACACCGGTGGTATTTGTCATGATTTGTTAATCAATATTTTTCTAATAGAGTGATCCGGGGGTGAGGTGCTGGAGATTCAAAGCACAATATCTCCATGTGTGCTTTTCCATGTTTGGCCGACGTATCTTTTATTTTTCTGGTGGCTGCACTTTGAAAACTGAAACTTCAGGGCTGCATCATGCTGCGAAACAACCCATGAAAAGACCATCGCCCACCCCTAAAAATGTATTTTAGGGAGGGGAAGAGGTTAGGGGAAAAACATACTTTTATCGTCCTCCAAAATTGATTCCCCAGGATCCCCCCAAAATACATTTTTTGACGAGGGACGTTTGAAAAATGTAGGATCCATGGGTCCCCCCCCAGGATCCTTTATTTTAGGGTGGTTGTTTAATAATTTTTCGGGCTTGGTTTTTCCAGGATCCCCCGGGCATCCCCGGGAATGTTACATTATTTTTCTGAGGGAATACCCTTCTTTGAAAAGTATTTTAGGGGGTGGGTAGACGAAAAGCACATCATTTTTGGCACACTGATTTTATACATCTTGCTGAGGGATTCCTTGGTACCCCCTGCAAAGCATACATTTCAGCATGTTTCAATTGCAGCATATTTCAGCCATTTTATGGCTCGAGGGTTCACTATAGTTGCCAAATGGATGCACGCCAAAAATAGTCTAACCCTAACGGATCCTGACGGCGTTCCATGAAAAAACAACAGCTATTGTCTTGTGAATTGGTGTCATATCTTGGGAGTGATGTGTGTTTGTATGTGTTTGTTTTAGGTGACCCCAGGTATTCCCAGGTGACCTTCTGGCTTTCACGGGTTTCAAAAAGTTTCCCAGGAGAAAGAATCAACTGGATTGAGTTGCAGAACCCGCATGCTTCCATACATTTAATTAGAAATGTTTATATATCCAGTGGCTCTTGTCAGTTCACACCCCCGCAAAGCATACATTTTCAGGTTCAGTACCCCTACGAAGAATACATTTCCCGCATCTGACACTGATACATGCCGGATTTTGAGGGGTTAACCCCCCCAATCCCCATACGTCTTTGGCAAAAAGTGAGGGGTTAACCCCACCTGGTCCCCAGGATTTGGGGGAGGGGGATAAGAGACCACAATGTCAAAGCATTAATAGGGGAAGCAGGGCGCAGACCCAGAGGAAGGCATTGTCGGTTCAACAGCAAAGCGAAATCAAAATTGAGTTGCAAATGACGGGCTTTACACCAAACAATGTGAGTGTCAACACCGGCAATTTGCATGTAGCCAAGCCACAAATAGCTGGCTTGTAAGCCGATATTGGGTTTTCATTCAGAGAATAAAGTTGACACCGCACAGGTGGGTTCAAGCACCAGCAATAAGCAATACTATTGCAATCACCAAAAACATGGGAATGGATTTACCATTCCCCAAGCTCACACAGACCTGAGAATTGGCAATTGTCTGCAAAAAGTGTCTTCCAGCCCCAACCCATAGCCTATGTATGTCTATGTTAGTTGGGCAGGATGGTACCCGCATGCGACCACCAGCACATAAAGATTTTGGTTTTTAGTATATAAATCCCAAAAAAAGAAAAACCATGTTCCTTTAGATTTTGTTTCTCTGCAATTTTCGGCATTTGTTTGGGGTTACGAATTGTTTCAGTCCAGTGCCCTAGGTGCTGCGCCATGATTCTGCGCTCTGACTTCGTGAAGCTGAGGAGGCCGGCGCTGAAGTGTAGGGACCTCGCCGACCTTACTATATAAGAAGACCCTGAAGTTTCCGAGTTCAAGTTTTTCATCCAACTCCTATTCCATATGCTTGCATAATGTCTGTTTTCAAGCTTTTTGGAAGTCCCAAAAGAGATAGAAGTATTCTTCAATTTTCCATCTCATTCTTTGACATGGTAATGAGTTGTATACGTCAATAGCTATTCGGCACATATTTCCAAGGCTTAAACTGTTCGATATGTTTTGGAGTTGCAATGTTGGTGAAGCGTGTGTGTGTGTGTGCAACACCCGAAGAGGTAGATGATAAACATACGTTTTGGTGAATTATAACAACTCCCCCGCAAAATAATTGATTGCTAGTAAGGGTAATGGCCTATTTGATTTCAGGTTGGTGAATCAGTGATATACCTGCAATCATGTCCAATGTGAAGACTGCCGCTTAGGTCCTTGTAGAGCCTAGGGGTAAGACCAAAGAAACATCGAACTGAAAACTGGGCCCTTAGTGATCTTTTGGCCTTCAGTAGTGGTTGCTTCGTTGCAGCAGATGTGTTCACGCACAGTAGTTTCATGAGTTTTTTGTAAAGCTCACATATTTATTTACATGTACAAGTATCAAAACCCTAACTTTGTTGACAACTTCAGTCAAAGTTTCGACCAAAAAACCATGGCACCAGCCAATGCTTCCAAAAAATCAATACATAAACATATTTATTTACATATACATATTATATACATATTACATATATATATATATAAATATATATACATATGTGTGTGCATGTATATTGTAAGCATGAATTGGAGAACCGCCTGGCATTGAGTTCTGCATTTGCTGCATTGCGGCCCTGTTGAGGTACCAATTGGTCCAAGATTGGACATGTTTCCATTGCCTCCCAATGACTTTCCACGACAGATGAGCTGCTGCTGCTTAGCTGTGGCCAATGCGCCAGAAACTGTGTGGAGCCTTGGGGCAAGGGGAAGTTACGGTTGTCATGGGGCATGTTCCAATTTTTTTTTGGGGCGTGGGCTTCCCTGCGATTTTTCCGGAAAATTTACAATGGGTAGCTACAAAATAATAACGGTCTTAAACAAGAGGTGCGGTGGGAACCAAATACCCAATCAGAGACTGGCTAACTCACTGCTCGCATGTTTGGCATATTATTTGACACAGGCAAGCGATCCCTGCTGCTTGCGCCACTGCGGGATGGAACCTTCAACTTTTTTTGTTGCAACATGTCAGCTACTGTTGGTTTAACATATTTCGGATGGTCGTTTTTGCCAGTGATTCCAACCGACTAGTCCAAATATTTCAAACCTGTCCCGTGATCATAATTAGCATTCCGAAACGGAACCCCAAAATGACGACATTCAATACTCTACTCGATCTAGACTACAGGAAAAAGGGGATCACATTTTCGCAGGCTTGAAGCCACCAAAATTTGGATATATCATTGTTTCTCGGCTGGCGTGAGGCATGTGCAGTCCATAATTGGAAAGGGACACAAGCTATCCCTGGCAACAAGCGGAACAAGCTGATGAGGACGTCTGGGGATTGAGGGGATGATGCCATGACCCTTTGGCTGTTGGAAAGTGCATGCTTTGAGACTTTGAGACACGTTTTTTTGCTAATCTCCCGTTTGTGCCAAACTTGAATTTGAGAATTTGCCTGGAACTTGGAACTGATCTTTGACATGTGGTTGCGGCCCGAGTTGAGGACCTTGTTTCAACACTTTCTTTTTTCTCGCTGAAAAGTTACAAGTCGGTTCCATGGCGGCAGTTACTCGTGGTTTGGGCGCCTGGAATCGCAGATGCCGGGTATATCCGGGTATGAAAATGAATGAGATCTAAAATTCCCCCAAACAAGATCAAACAAAGTACAAAGGTGTAGTACAAAGGTGTAGTACCAAACATATGTCACAAATTCGAAATAAACAATCATAGCAACAATAGATGTCCGGATGTTCCTGTGTTGCTGGTGGCTTATGGGATCCTGCAGTTTGTGACCCATCGGTCCGAGGTTGTTGGGCCGATCACAATGCTGGAGACCCTGGCATGCGCGGGAACGAGACGAAGAAAAGGGGTGGCGAAGTTGAGACCGGCCAGGTGAACTTAGACACAAAATATAGCGATTAAAATGGGGAAAATGATCATAACGGGGATAAACGCATAAGCCATCAAATTTTGGGGCACCCTGGTTTCAGTCAGGTAAACCCAGATATCATGGATCTTCTTGGGAGTTGTAGTTGTTTGAAGGCTTTTTGGTTGAGAGCCACGCCTGCTTGGGGTAGCCACAGCAACATGCGTTTGTTTGAATATGGTGGCTTTCCCCCACTTTGAAGTTTAAATACGGAAAATGATGATAATAAACCATCAACAATTTGGGCTAGTCTATTTTGAGTTGAAACAAGCGTATGAGGCGCTGGTTTGTTTCATTGTTTGTTTTCCATCCTTCAAAGTGCATTGTGGTTATTTTTTTGCACGTTCGGTTTCAAATATGTTTCCACAATAGAGGCCCATCCCGCCAATCAATATACTACATTAATGTTTTTTTTGCCCAAGCCCGAAAATGGGATGACCCGAACCATGCTTATGAATCATTTGTGTATCAGTCGATCCTTCATTGCAGATTGACGGGCCCTTTTCTGGGGATGGGTGGCAACCACCAACCAATCCAGTGAACAGTTTATGATGTTTTAATGATGTTCTCTTTCGATAGTACACCGGTTAGTATCAAATTTCCAAATACAACGAAAATTTCTCCAACATAATTCAGTTTCCCGTGGTTGGTGGGTATGGTCGGCTATGGTCGTGGATAATTAGCTGATAGTTTTCCCACACCTGATTTGGCTTAAAGAGGATTTCTGATATAATGGCAAATTCCTTTGCTACGTTTTTTTCTTTGCATTGTACCTAGCACCACTTCCAGAGAATGCCAAAGCGCCACTTCTAGAGAATGCCAAAGTTTCCAACAAGACCAATTCCATTCAATTCCTTTACCACTCTTGGATCGCAATCGTTGCAGTGGCCCAGACATCACAAGCAACCTCAGAAAAGGGCAGAGCAGCTTGGCCATGGCATGTTCATGGTAGACCTGCAGCACAAGAAAATTGATGGGAAGCAGGCCCCCAAAATTGATTGCAAACCGCATGAAAAGTTTACAACCACCTATCATGTGGAGGGAGTTCATGTACATAGCATGGGCTTGAGACATATACATTCTTTTGCGTTGTTTCTATACTATATCGTACCATTGTGTGATTTATCATCTATCATCCTTCCCGTAGCACCCTTTGTTGCGTAGGCCACCCTGCAGTGACGATTTAGTCTGTGCTGGTCCATGACAGCCATGACAGCCATGGTCCAGCGGTCTGACTATCCAGAAGGGAGAGTGAACAATGACCAGTGGCAGACTCTTGGCTGATTCAGACACATTGCTACAAACCAAACAATTGCTCATGAAGATTCCTTCAGATTCCAATGCATATGTTGTTTCTAAGATTCTTATGATTCTTGTTGTACATGCGTGGTTGGACAGCGGTGAAGAACTGCACAGGCTCACGGCTGGGGTCCACAAACACGGCTGGTGAGGAAAACACTTGTCAAGAGAAATACTAAACGATTTGGATTTGTTTCCTATAGGACCATGGTCCCCTTAAGTAAGTATCAGCTGTCGCGCGCATCAAGGTGATTTCACCATGAGTCCCTGGACCGGGGCACTTGCTCTATCAGGCACCGCATGGGGCGCACAGGGTCGAACAATGCAAATTTAATGGAAGTTGTAGTTCTGTTTAGGGCAATTATTTGTGTCTCTCTATTATATGTTTACGTCTTGATATTTCAAATATAGCAGTCGGGTCCGTAACCAGTTTGTGTAGGTGTGTTTCTGCGCAGGTGTTCGGGGGGTTGAGTTCGGGGTTTTTGGGTTCTCACTTCAACCAGCAGTTTCCAAAACACCTTGTTTTTCCATCGCCCCGTGGAAACCTACATGAGCTTAGCATTCAAGTGTCATGTTTGTGCCACGCAGTGATGCCGCACAAATAACCAAATTGATGGAATTACAACTAAAATACCTAGATTTATTTATGATAGATATACGATGTATCATACATCAAATGGGTGTACTTTACACCAACTAACATAACTGGGTTGGCACCACCTTGTTGAGGCAATGAATGGTGGCACAGGGAGGATCAGCGCTTGGATGTGATGGTGCCTTTGGTGAGCTCCCTGCTGAGCTGCGTGGTGGTTCAACGCTTAAGCATCCAACCCTGTCACTAGCAGCTGGGCCTCATGGAATGCTGGCGGCGATTTCGGCGGAGATGTTCCGTTGAATGATGATAGAAACAAAACGCATGTGATCATTTGTGTCTGTATGCATGGTTTGATGTGTGTCTGTATACACATTATACATGTGTTTGCGCCTTAAGCAGTGGAATTCTCTCAGCAAAATGTAACCATCGCAGCAGTTTCCGTAACCCCCCGTGCCAAGTCCCAATAACCCGTGTAAGCATTTAAAGAGCAAGCATGAATAGCATATGTTTTTGGATATTCATGGGGGCTCACCAATTGTGATCACCATAGATCCATTGACTCCAGTAATTACGTATCATCCATCACGCCAGTCAATTCACTATATGCGCGTTTTTTTCCCATACATTAACTTCTAAGAATTTCTTGCTTGGTTGAGCACTGTCTAATCCTTGTTTGTGTTCCAGATTTGGTTGCTGAACTCGCCTTTTCTAGAGAATGTCGAATCTTTCTTTGGCTAAGATGTCAGCATTCGTCGATGCCCCAGGACCTGCCGCCCGTAACCAGCCTTTCAGAGGATGCCGCTTTTCAGCACCAGGGGGTGCGAGAAGGGCTCCAGGTCGAGGAAGGGCCAAAAGCAGCTGGCCTTGGACCTCTGGTTGACTATGTAACATAGATATTGAAAAGGCATCGTTTCTTCGGGAAAACTTCTATATCTGGTGGGTTGTCCATATCCATGAATTCAGCTGTGTACAGTTTGACGTCTTAGTGCTTGCCAGGAGTTTTTGGGATTCGCAAGGATTCAGCCGAAAATGGGGTGGTAGCGTTTGGGGTTGAGGCGATCATTGAAATGCACCAAGGTAAAGTAATTCAATTACAGACAGACATTCTAATACACAAGGCTCTTCAATTGGGTACTCGTGCGTAACCCGAAACCCGCATTTGCTGAAGGTTGTTTGTTATAACCCAGTTGCGGAGTTTTTTTGAAAATTGCCCATACAAAGTAGCAGTTGGAGGCATACATGCAGGATGCGGGCGGCCCGCACTTCAGGTCTCGTTGTGACAGGCTAGGGTGCCCTCAAAGTGGCTTAACGAGATTTTTTTCTGGGCCATTTTCGGACCATGTTGTACCAACTTTGGTTGGCCCCCATGCGCACAATCAGCTGGGCATGTGAGTATGTTACTTTGGGTTGGTTATGTTAATGGTGGCGGCGCCTAGAAGAGGCCGTGCGCGTATGTCATTTTTCCTGTCTCTTCATTTATGGTTCGTTGGGGGGTGGGGGGGTGGGGTGGGGGATGTTAACGTTCATGGGACTTGCACACTTACGTGATGCTACGCTACTGCACGTTCTCTTCAAGGTATACAACTACGTGATGCTACGCTACTGCACGTTCTCTTCAAGGTATACAACTACGTGATGCTACGCGACTGCACGTTCTCTTCAAGGTATACAACTACGTGATGCTACGCTACTGCATGCGCGCCACGCAACAATACCCGCCATGATTTATGTACTCACACACACTCACGTAGGGTCATTGACGCTGTCTTTCATTCTTCGTTCTTTTTGGTCTTTCATTCTTTTCGCTTTTTTTACTGATGAGTCCCAGCGATCCTAACACCTTTGTAGTGGCACATGTCTTAATTCCAATGCAACGGACCCTTGCAGGAAGTGTTGAAGTCCAAAATCTTGGCGTGCCTTTCGCACAAAACAAAGTGCGGAATCACCGGTTTCACAGATGGGGCCAATGTGTACAAGGCCGCAGCTAAGACTCAACAGAAGAGTAAGGGTCTCCGCTTTTTTCAAGTGAAGCACACGCAGTCGCAGTTTACTGTTGCAATTAGGAAGAGAACAGGTGTGAAAAAGGCAGGCACTCAGCAGTGTGACAGAATCTGGCACCATGTCAAAAAGGCACTCCCAAAGTCTCTGACCAGCCGAGCAGTTGATGGACATGTGAACGATCAACTGTTCTGGTCGTATGTTCATTTGATTGCTTTAGCGGCGGAAACCAAAGTGGCGGCAAAGGAGTTCTTAAATTCTCTGATTTCCCCACAAAATTCCAGAAACTTTCCGGCATTCACATGTTTTCCATGTCTGATATGTTGTAAAACAGGTGCATGCCGTGACGTGGCCGTTTCCTTTCACATTATGTTAGGCTACGGCACTGAGACGAGGATGCAGTATGTTTTTGAAATTGGTTTGAGACATACTCATCTCTTCAACATGTGCGGAAAGGATACCATGTTTTGATTTGGAGCACCTCGCCGCAAAGAATCACGTAAAGCCAATTGATGTACTTTGTTGTAAAGCAATTCCGAAAAACAAACACGCACCAACAATCAACTTCATTAGCAGCTTGCTCCGGCTCGTCGACTCTCGGGCCATGGAAGGGTTCCCTCTGCCAGACTGGATTGGCAAGATCCATGGGCATCTAGTCTGGATTCAATGCAGTGCCGGGCCGTACTACTGTCAACCAAAAACGACGCATACATTTTAGATTACTTCGCATTGTTGGTTTATTTGATCTTGGGAATCTTGGGATATATGTTGACATATATATATAAGGGGAAACTCGCCAAGCCCCACATACACTTTACAGCCTCAGTAACAACAGCTGCTCATCAACTAATTTCAAGTCTGTAAGTGCCAAGACGGCTTGAAATGACCAATGGTTCCAAAGATATCAATGAAAAAACCGTGAAAAGATTACAACATACTCCAAAAAATGAGTAAATTTCAGGCGTGTGTCTGGTGGCTTTTCACGGTTTTTCTCGGCCGTTTCACGGTCCAGATTTTCTAGGAAATTTTAGGCAGGTACTTTCACCAG